TGCTCACCTGGGGGAAAGACTTGCCAGGCATGCTGTGTCATATCACCTAAAGAAAACAACAAACTCCTACCCGGGCACTGCCACACCAAGCCCGCGGCCAAACAAAGTGGCTGTCACATTGTTCCTAAAGGCGTGTTTGCTTGCATTTGTGCTCCGTCTCCTCACCTGCCACAACCGGAATGAGAAGTCTGACACTCTGGGATGGCCCACCATATCCCGTCCCGTGATGCAAAAGAATGGTTCATCAACGCATGGAAACATCCGCAAAACAGGTAGCATCACCGTTGAGCATGATTGAATTTCTATCAGATCTCCTCTTCAGGACGTGTCTCTTGTCCTTTGGGCGCCGACAAATAGTTCTGATCAGATTCTTGGGATTCTCGGACTGCCTTTTTTGGTGGAGGACGGGAACCAAATGTGTGACGCACCACAAATATCGCTTGATGATGTGACTTCTCTGGAAGCCGCACGATGTGTGACATGGTTTCTGCACGATCCGTGGAGAATCACGGAAGTGGCCGACTCATGCCGACTCACAGTCTCGAAGCCGCTTCAGCATTGGACCGGCATCGTGCTACAACAGGTGCCGCTTGTCGCGGCATGAGACCTCTAGGGCATCGGATAAAATTCCGCAAATTACTGCAAATCGGGAACGGATCAAATCCTCATTTGTTCGGCATCAGCTCCGGAACAAATCTGAAACCTGAATGTGGTTGCTTCGATTGAATCTGAAGAAGTTCGGGAAGACATCCTCAGGGTCATCCAAACCGAAGGCGGACACTCGTAACACTGGGTGAGTCGTTTTGCATGTGCCCCATCATGCCTTGCAGAAAAACGAGTCTCAGTCTTTCATAAGTAAACACAAAACAAAAAAAACATCAGTTGTCAGGCAGAGAGTGATCCTCAAAACAAACGTTTCACTGGCAGACATGGTCGATGTAGAAACGACCGACGGACCGAGAGCGACCGCGAGCGACATCCAACCCCGACCGTGGCATCGGCGGAATGGGATCGTCAAACCATGTCAAACCGCGCGTCGAAAAAAAAATATGACCAATAGTTGTTGTTGCATGCAAGGCTATATGTTTCATGTCAGCCAACAAGCCAACAAGCGACCACATCCTTGGGCAGCCCATGTTTCCAAACCTCTCTTCTGTTCACCCAGATCCACTGACTCCTTCATCTGCGACAGCTCCACCCCCATCCACTCTGCTATCGGCACCAAAAAGTTCTCATAGGGGTGCTTTGGGACCAAGCGGCCTCGACCTCCATCAGGCACAAGTCAACACAAGCGATCCAATAAGTCTCTTGGCCCCTTCTAATATGCGTGCGTACGCCAATGCTATTTGCGTGTGGGTGTTATCACCTATGACTTCCTCATGGCAATAGACCTGCGTACTCTTTTTCCGATGAGAATGTTTGAGCCAAAAGTCATGGTCGCAATGCACTGTACATGGTGCGCTTTGTACATGCTATGCTGTATATGGTGTTGCCACTCTCGCTGCACTGCTATTGGCACCCCCCATGCTTGAGTTGTCTTCGACTCCTCATGCACACTTAAATTACAGTACAAGGGTAGGGCCGAGAGATTGGGAGATAAATGTTCGCCGTGAAATCTTAGAATCTCTACTACCAAGTCTGGTTGAACAATGCGGGCTTTACATATGTACTTGGCTCTACACAACTATATCTCTAAATGAGAAAATTAATTCAAGTGGATGTCGAATTACCACGCTCAGACGCTCAGAGACTCTCTCAGTACCTCTTTAGCACGATGCAGTCCCAAAATTGAGCTTTCTTGTTTGTGGCTTCAACTCCAATCGAAATGGTTTTGCAATGGATATCTTTGAGTTTGTATGAAGCTGTTTCGGTAAAACATTCGGGGAATCTTTACCATTTTCGCTCATGACTCATGCCATTGATTCCTTTACCACGCCATTGGTAGTGGTCTCCTTCATCCTGTCCTCTGGGATGAGATCCTTGTTTCCCTTTGCCTTTAGGATTCAGTTGTGGCTGCCATTGCGCTGACGTCGATGTTGGATGGCTGACAAAAGTCTGTCGGGATAGCCCCAGCGCTTCCGATGGCTTTGCGCGTGGCATGTCCTCTGTTGACGATGTAGCTGCTTGGCGCCGTTCACTGATTCCTGGTGCATAGGTTCCATGACCATATGTTGCTATTGCTTCGTATGCGTTCTCGAAGTCAAAATATTCTCCAACCTTTTGAAGATGTTTGGATCTGGGTTCTTTGCAATCTTCTTCATCCTCTCGTCGGATTGAGGTGGTAGCCTGGCCTTCTTCTGCGCAAACATGACCAATATCTCACGTGGCTGCAATTCCTTCGTTATGAGATTCTTCCACTGTTTCATACTGGCCTATTGCCGGCGCTCCGGCTTTCCCTTTGGGCTTGGGCCCAGGCTTTGGTTTCGGTTTGTTCTCGTTCTCGCCTGCGGCAGCTGAGGGTTTCTTCTTAGGTGCAGCTTTGGGGTCGTGGTAGAATTTGCATTCTTTTCCTTTTGCGCGTGTTCCTCTGATCCACCCCCACCCAGTTTTCTCCCAGGCTTTTGCATCTCTTCTACAAGGACATCAAATCTCTAGAGCAAGATTTTGTGGGTTTCGAGGAGTGTTGGAAAGATTGGAAAAACAAGTTTTTTTGCTTTCCACCCTTCACAGATTCACGGAGTTCGTAGCTTTGTTGTTCCAGCGCCTGCAGACGTGGTCACTGATGATGACGTCAGGCCTGATTTGTTGGCTGCCATCCATTGCGCGGCATGCGGCGCTGGCCCATGGAAAAACTTGCGAGCGCTCAGATCGCGTGAAGCCAGCAAGCACAAACGTAGAAATCCAGCGCAGAGCAAAACATGCCATGGCCAACTTGCAGTCATGAGTTCACCATAAAAACAGCAGCTCAAGGACATGTTCAGAAGCAGTCTTGCGGTCGTCCAAGGAAAAATCATGGCCATGCTCTTGCCCTCGATGGACGCCGAAGTCTTGCTGCAGCCCCAGCTCAAGCGCCTGCAGTTGAAGCAGCCCCACAAGCTGTACAAGCCAGACTTGAAGCATACTTGCGCCACATGCCCGGCCTGGACTTGTTGCCGGGCACGACTAGTCCACAGGCGTCTTGGCCGCCGAAGCGCCCGCGGCACCAAGCAGCTGCGCAGCCAAATCTTGAGCAGAAACTTGCTGAGTTGAGCATGCAACTTCAAGAAGTCTGTCAGTTGGTTGTTTCTCGTGATCAATCTCTTCGTGAACTTGAAGCTTGGAGCACTCGTTCTTTTGTCTTTGACAGACAGGCAGAGCTTGCGACTGGTCTCAGCGAGCACATACAGCCGCCTTCTCGCGGGCAAGCGCATCCACAGGGACCCGCTCGTCATACCGTGGCCGCTGCTCTTGCAAACTGCTCATTCAAAAAAAGGACCGAGGCCAAGCCATGCCAAAGTTCACAGAGACGCATAACAAAAAGACCCAGATTGACGTTTTGAGGCTGAGTGCGCAGTTGGCTTTTGTGAAAACAATTCGTCCGGCCCCAGCAATCAGCGCAAGCCGAGTGGCCAGAAACCTTTGACTGGATGGACGCACACCTAGCAGAGAGCTTCAGGCGGAAAGCAAAGACATTGCTCCGCCAGGTCCACTTGTGAGATCTTTGCGTCGCAAGGAGAAGCCAGCTGATGCGGAGTGAGGCGAATTTGGTCTTTGCCAACTAGTGTGCCGGTTTTTGCGTTTGTTTGTTTGTGCTTTTTTGTTCTTTTCGATTGCTCGGTGGTGCCTGAACAAGGAAAATTTTACCCTTTCTGGCAAAACCCCCATTTCTATTTGGGGTTGCGGGGTGAACTTTTGCAATGCGCCCTTTGTGGGCCAAGAAAGATGAGATGTATGCATTCGCACGGGCCATAGAGCCCGAGCGCACAATCGAAGACTGTGGTTACACTTCAGCAGCACATCAGGCTTTCTTTCAAGAAGTTGGCCAATGAAGCTGCTAATGTGGAAGCAAGCAAAAGCAAGCCTGTTCAGCGACTTCCCACATGTTCAGGTTTTCATCTTGTAGAGCAAGCATACGTGTTTGCAGTTGATCAGCAGTGGATCTGTCCACTTGCTCCGCGCAGCTCGCTCGACATATTCTCCGGATAGTTCTCTGTATCTGCCATAGATGTTTTCCAGCAAGTCGAAGTTTATGCTCTAGTTCCTCAATCCTGATTCTTGCACCCTCGTCTTCCTGAACCATTTCTTGCAGCAGTCTCGTTTCTATGGCTCTTCCATAATTGGACACGTTCGCGAACTCTTCGTTGGATCTCTGATATAGGTCAGTGTATCCAGATTGCAAATGTGAATGTTTTTGATAAGCCATGTTTGATGATCTAAGTTCTTCCAGCAGTTGCACTTCTCTGCTCGCTTCTCTGTGGTCAGGGCTACCGCTGGTGATTCTCACTTTCTCAATACTCTTCTTTGGAGATCGGTTGTGAGTTATCCTCGGTGAGGTAGACCTGCTGAGGGTTCTGAGACTTCTTCTCATATCCCTAGCTCTAGATAATGATCCAGTAGCGCGTTGCATCGTGATCACGGTAGCGTCATTAGAACTTATTCCTGTCATTCCTGAGCCAGGAGATGACTGTGACATGTTTCCTCCAGGAGCGGCGAAGGAATAGGCTTCACTCGTATTCCCACCAGAACTGGACATAGTCGGTCACACTGTTTGTTGGTCTCTCAAGAGCTCCTACCCAGAGCGGGCACGGCTGATAACCTGCGTGTAGGTGTTAATCAGCAAGTTGCAGTGAAAACAACTGATGATCACCTATGACTTCTTCATGGCAATAGAACTGCACGTACTCTTTTTCCGATGGGGCGTCTTGAGCCAAAAGTGATGGTCGCAATGCACTGTACATGGTGTGCTTTGTACATGCTATGCTGTATATGGTTTTTCCACTCTCGCTGCACTGCTACTGGCACTATGTATATGATAACTGTATGTGTATATATAAATATACTAAACCATCGAAACTTAGAATGCCTGCTTGAGTTCCAAACGCATAGAATGCATCTCCATCTTAGAATGCCCGCGGCATTCTAAGTACCGGTCCGATATAAGCTCCCAAACATAAAAGGTTAAAGAATGTGAAATGCAATGCTGTGAGCTCTTTTTCCCACAGCCCTTGGCCTTAGCGTCTTGAGTCTTGGGTGAAACATGTATTCTCCGATCCTTTTCATCGTTGCATTTCCCTTTGCTCTTCGTATTCCTTCTCCTTTCCTTTTGCTTCGTTTCTTTTCCTGTCCCATTGTTCTTTTCCTTTCTGTCCTTTCCGCTCTTCCTTTTCTGTTTCCTTTCCCCTGCTTTCTCCTTTCTGCTGCCACGTCCCGTTCTTAGCTATTTTCCATCTTCCGTGTTCTTTTGTTTGCCTATTCTGTGGGTTTGGCGTGCAAAGGCTGGGGCGCATATGTCACGTTGTTTGCAAATCTATGCATACACACAAACACTCACAGACGGACAGTTAGAATGCCCGTCTTGATCCCCAAATTTGCAATAAGGAAGAGAGGGAGGAGAGGACAATGGGACAACCTATCCGTTTCATTGTTCCTTTTGTCGTTCCTCTTCCTCTTCCCGTCCTTTTGCCTCTTGCCTTTTCCTGTCTCATTGTTCTTTTCCTTTCCTATTCTTTTGCCTTCATCTGTTTCCCTGTTCCCCTTCCTTCTCCTTTCTGCTGCTATGTCCCGTTCTTGGCAATTTTGTCCTTTTCCTTGTTCCTCTTCCTTGTCCTTTTCTTTTTGCCTATTTCTGCCACTTCTTCATGTTCCTTGACCCTCTTCCTTGTCCTTCCCTTTTGTTCTTCTACTCTGTAGGTATGCAGTTTGCAGCATGCAAAGGCTGGGGACATATGTTGTTTGCAAGCCGCTGCGTGCGTACAAATCCTCACTTGGGCGCCGACGTTCTATGTGATGCCCCGAAAAAGCCTTTCTGCAGCTAATCTTACCTACAACAGGGGTCCTCCCCCCGCTTCGGGTGTTTTCGCCTGAGTTTCGATGAGTGGTACGTCATTCTAAGTTTCAGTCCGTCGCTATAATCAATCTATAAGTATAAATGTACACCGTGTTCCTTCACCGGCAGTGCCCAGGCATGCAAGAGCTGTCCACACAGGCATCACATCACAAGTTCAAAAGCAGAAATTAGAAAAGTTCTTTGGCTGTTCCATCACAAAACAATCCCATCACCAAAAAGCGCACACCTGTGCAGAAATCCGAGAAAAAACTACCGGAACTGGATGAACCGCCATTACCATCTGTCACAAATCCCTGTAAATATGCAGAAAACCGCACGCATTCTAAGTCGAAGCGCCGTAAGGGTCTCCAAAAAAGTACGGGAACCAGTTCCGGTAGTTTTTTAGGGTCCATAAATCCGCCTGCGGATTTCCAAACGCGCATTCTAAGTTTCAGCGGCTGACTATACCTATTAATTTGGTTTTGCGATGGGTTTTGCGAAGAGGATGCCACGAAAAGGATGCCATCGTTCGCGACGTCTCTCTGAATGATCACGAGGTACTGATCCCTGATACCAAACGCGATCCTCCAGGCAAAGGGAATTTTGTTGGATTTTGCACTTGGCCAGAAAGGTTCCGAAATGGGATACCCAACCCGACAGGAGGAGATACTGCTTGATTTGAAGATATATATACTCCAGCCCATGCGCAGGCACTCGTCCATGTTGCTTTTGCTTGCTGGCAAAGAACGGGTCTTGAGGTGGGACCATATCTCCATACATCTCCTGACCTCAAATCGTTGAGTGACAGTATGTACTTCCTAGCCCTTCCAGACCCGCCCCCTCATTAACCCGCCTAGGTCGAGCTCAGAGTCCAGTTTCAAGCTGCTGGGATACTGGTTGAAGATCTGACCACCTTTGATGCCTCGAAAAGCGAAGGATCTGACCGCCTCTAGCCCTCTCTTTTGGAAAGACTCGGAGGAGCTTCCTTGCGGTCCCTGTTTTCAAGAAACTGAAGGATCCAGATATGAGTGAGCCTGATGTGAATTCCAACAAATATGGCTGTAGGAGGAACAGAATGGACTACGAAGGAGGTCAACCTACACTGGTATGGGGATCCGGGCTCTTGACCCACCCCATATTGAATCTCACTTGAATCGGCAATCTTTCAGTTCAAGAGGTATTTCGAAGGTCACACGGCTCTCTTTCATGCGCCTCAAAGAAAGCGAAGAAATATGACGGTCATATTTCCTCAAAATCGACTCCTTGCAAAATGTTGCAAATCCTCCCACAGGCCCCGTGCCTCCGCCCAGGAGCACATAATGCCCTGCCCAGCCATGGTCGGTGCCCCTCTGGCTGTTCGGCGTCAAGGTCCGTGCGAAGTCTGACTGTGTTGCCAGGACCACAGACCTCATGTCAAACGACTCCGCATGCGGTCGGGAACCCACCAGTGCAAGAGGGAAGCCACCAGGCTGTCGTTGTTCATGAGGCTGTGACTCTTTTGGTTCTAAAGCCCCATAGGCTGACTGCACCAAAGAATGGTGAGAGGTGGTATGCGGGCACGATGGGAACTCTGTGCCTTGAAATGCCTCTAAAAAGTTTCCGCACAACCCACCACCCTCCCCTCACAGCGCTTACTGCATCCCATAAACTCAAAAACGCCTTGAGCCTTGAGCTCCTGTGTGAACTGCGTCAGCGCATGGTTCAACTCGCTGAACCTTTGTCGGGCCACCACACCCCAGCGAGTCCCGGTCCGGCTATTCCAGGAACAGCCTGAGTACTGGATTCTCCCAGCAGAGTAGAACATGGAATTAGGGTGGAGGCCATTGCTACTAGGTTGGAGGCCATCTCTATTACGGTG